GTTCCAGTGGCAGCCTGGGCTGAGGTGGATTACCTGTCTCAGGAGGCTGAGCGCAAACTCTAGGTTCTGTAGCCTCTGCCTGTTGACAGCGCTGACCTCTGTGAACTTGGCTGTGAGCGTGGCTTCCTGCAGAGAGAGCAGTTAGGAGCACCGTCAGCTGACCGGGAGAGAACCCAAAGCTGGGACAGTGCCCAAGAAGCCTGGCTCTTTTTTTTTTTTTTTTTTTTTCAAGGATCTCAATCTAATGTTATCCCCCAAACAGCTTACACTGTTGTCTTGAATTCATATACCAAAACATGCATATTGGGGGTGGGGTGGGGGATTGGGGACTTTAAACATGTGTGGAAAAAGTTCTTTTTGCTTTCAACTCTGCCTTCCTGCCAACGCTTTGAAGCACCCCCATCTGTCCTTTCTGTATCTTTAAATGTGTTTCTTGTTGAGATACCAGGTGAAGTGTACACCCACATTCAACAACTACAGGTGCGCCTCAGTGATATAGGTCTCCTCCCGGGAAAGCTGATGGGCGCCACCTGGATGCCCATCTGGGGGCGGGGCCCATCCCTTTTTAGTGCCACCTCGGTCATGCCACACGGTCCCGTTGTTTCCATCCCGCCCCCTTCCCCACTGTGGACAGCAGCACTGTTTTAGTGAGCGTGGCTCTGCCGTCGGTCCTAAGGAGGGCCCACAGTGGTCAGAGCACAGGGACCCTGGGGCTCTGTGATGGCCTGGCACAGTGGAGAAAAATTGGGTGGGGAGTCTCTTCTCTAGCTCTCTTCACCTTTTCGGACCCCTCTTCTGTGTACTTCATGGGGCCCTCAAATCTACCACCGGGGCCTGTACACCTCCCTCCACCCTGTGGTCCTCTAGGCCTGTCCTCCAGTGGGCTGCTCCTCCCTGTTCAACCAGCCCCCCGATTGTGTGCACATCTTGCAGCTGCCACCCCTCACCTGCCACCTGGGCAGTCGGGACTCCTGAAGGGCTCACCTCTTCCTTGACTCTGGCAGCCGGGCACTGCAGCCGGGCCCTCTTGTTGGCGTGGCCATTCCGTCCACTCTCCAGGTCAAGGAGGGACCGGAGTTTCTCAGCCTCGAGCTCGTAGTCCTTGGTCCGAGGGAGAGGTTAGGTGAGAGAAGGGACCAGGGACTCTCTCAGCATCTCCCAGCCTTTCCAGCTGGCCCCACACCCGCCTTTGCCACAGGGCCCCTGGTGGTGCAGTGGGCCTAGCATGGGGCTGCTAACTGCAAGGTCAACAATTCAAACCCGCCAGCTGCTCGGCGGGAGAAAAATGAGGCAAAGATTTGACAGCCTAGGAAATCCACAGGAGCAGTTCTGCTCTGTCCTCACTGACTGCCGTTGAGTCAATTCTGACTCATAGTGACCCTATAGAACAGGGTAGAACTGCCCTAGTGGATTTCCGAGACTGTAACTCGATGGGAGTAGACAGCCTCGTCTTTCTCCTGAGGAGCAGCTGGTGGTTTTGAACCACTGACTTTGCAGTAACAGCCCAACCCATAACCACTATTCTGCCCTTGGGTCACGGTGAGTTGGAATCGGCTCCAGGGCAGCAATTTGGGTTGGGTTTCCTGATCTGGTAACCCACACAGGCCTCTCATCCAGCCACATGCTCTACCGTCTATGTGAGAATTCCCACTGAGCACTCTGCCCACAACCCCTCCCTCCCACCCCACCTGTTCTGGCGGCCCCTTCCCAGCCTCGCACAGCACCCCCTGCCTGTCATCAAGATGTTGCCACCCCCCAGTGCTCACACCCACCCAGTGGACACAACACTGACTGACCCTCCCATCCCCACTGCTGGGCACGCCACCACTTTCTAGCGGGTGTCCACAGCTGGGCCTTCAGTTTGTAGTCGGGGACAGCACTGCTACTGCTGCCCTGTGTGCATCTTGCATCCACCCTTGGTGCGTTTTCCTCTAGGGCGCTTCCCCAAAGGGCTCACCGATGCAAAGCACATATGCCCTCTTAGGGCTTTCAGTGCCAGGGGGTGGGAGTGTCATGCTGTCACTTCTCACCTTCACTGCCTGCTGGTAACGCTGGGAGCTGGCACAGACCTCCTGCACTTGCTGCCCCCTGTTGGCAATCTCATCCAGCAGGTTCTGCAAAACAACAAAGCACATGCTTGCATTTGAGGAGGCTGCCTTCAAATTGGAAATCCTCCAGAGCCAGGAGTCAGCAGTGACCCCACCAGCCATTGAGAGAGAGAATGGCAAGGCAGCCTGGGAGAGGCCTCAGCACCATGATGCGCCTGCAAGGACTGGTGTGTTTCTAACCAGTCAGTCCTGAGAGTCCATGAGCTTTGCCAATAAACTCAGGTTCCAGCAGTTCTAATGTCTTACTGACATCGCCGCCTTCAGGTGGTCCTGCCAGCCAGCACCATCACTTAGGAAGGGGGAAAAGGCGGCCCGGAGGAGGAACTCAAGCAGGGAAGAGTGTGAGTGTGTCAGTGTGAGTGTGTGTGAGAGTGTGAGTGTGTGTGTGTGTGTGTGTCCCGTCTGTCTGTCTGTCCTATGGGAGTCCAGAGCTCAAGCCTAGGCCCGGTAGCCTCTGAGGAGACAGGGCTCCAACTCTGGGGTCAGGCAGCAGCCCCAGGGCATCCCTCGGGGCGGTGCCTTTCCCAGGTGTCTGCTCTGAGCCGAGACCTGTGCACTACACAGAGACTGGGCATCCAACCGTAGTCTCAGAGAATAAGGTTCCAGGAACCAAGCAGGGCCAAGGGCCAGCAAGGATGGCGGGGCCAGGCTCTGCCCTGCTCACATTCCTCTTCCTAATGGTGTGGCTTCCCTCCGCAGGAGTGGGGTGCTTGGCTCTGACCACCCCCTCTCCTCTGTCACCACCCACACTTTACCTTCTGGTTCTTGAGCTTGATCTCCACCTGGCCAAGGCTGTCTGTCTCCTGGGGCTCGTAGCTGGGGGTGTTGGACAGGAACTGGAGCACGTGGTCATGGCCACGGCGGTAGTCCTCGTACGCAGCCTGGGCACTCTGCAGGCTTTGGGTCCTACAGCGGGAAAAGCAGCTTAGGCTCTGCCATGGGAGCAGATGCCCCAGCAGAAGCTACCTAGCTGGGTCCTTTCAGAGAGGCCGACTGGCCTTGCTGCTTGAACAAGAAGACCATCTAACTGGAAGTCACCTAAACATTTCCCAGAAAGCGATGAGTTCAGTACACTCCCAAAGTCCTTGGTCAGTACGCTTGTGCGGTCAGCTTTGTAAAGAAGACAGCAAGAAAACAAACCCATAGCCGCCGAGCCGCTGCTTCTCACAACGACCCCACAAAGCATAGTAGAATGGTGCCTGTGTTTCAAAACCCCAAGCCGAACCCACTGCTGTCCAGCAGCAGCCCCGCAGGACAGACTAGAATTGGCCCATGGGTTCCCGGGGCTATTTACGTCTTCCTAAAGCAGACCAAGTGCCTCATTTCCGTCTCTCAGAGCTACTGGTGGGTTTGAATAGCCCACCTCCCAGTTGGCAGCCCAGCACTTAGCTGCTGTATCACTAGGGCTCCGTCCAGCACAATAGGACCAAAACCTCACTGCCATTGAAGAGATTCCCACCCACAGTGGCCCCACAGCACATAGTAGATCAATCGATTTTTATGGGGGCAGAACAGAACTGCATCTGTGGGTTTCTGAGACTGTAAATCCTTGGGGGAAGCAGACAGCCTCACCCTTCTTTCCTCAGAGCAGCTGGTGGGTTCAAACCGCTGACCTTGTGATAGCAGCCCGATGCATAACCCACTACGCCACCAGGGCTCCAGGACAGGTCATAAACTACGTTCCTCCACTCCATTGTCTCATATGCTGCCTGTCTGCCCATCCAGCTGTCCCTTGTACACAGCGTATGTGGAAGAGGACACGCAGGAGTGGATTTTTGATTCTCCTCCTGCGTGTACTTTCCTTCAAGGTGGAAGTGACTTTGAGAACCAAGCAGCCTTCGCTGACTTCTGAAAGATTCCTACTTGGCTTCCAGGCCAAGGGCTCAGCTTCCCAGTCATCCATCCCCTTCATCCCCCAAAGGCCACTCGCTCACCTGCGGTCGATCTGTGACTGCAGGTGGTCAAAGCGCTGGCCAAGCTTGTGGACCTCGACCTCCTGGCGCTCCAGGTCTGGGCAGTGCTCCTGAAAGCGGCTGGCCAGCGTGCCTGAGCACTGCTTGGCTGCCTGCAGGTTCCCCTCGGCCTCGGCCAGGAGGGGCTTCTTGTCCTGCAGCTCGGAGCCCAGGGCCTGCCAGGCAGAGAGGGAGCAAGGGCGGGTTGTAGGCTAGAGCCCTGAGAGCCCAGGGCACTCGCTCTGCCTGAGCTGAGCGCTGCTCGCTCAGGAAGGGTCTCCCTGCCTTGAGTCTGGCAGGCATTCCTGCTGTGTTCTGAGGGTGGGCTACCCTGGGGTCCCAAACAGGAAGGCCTGCAGGGGTCAATGGGCAGACTCGGTCACCAGGAGGCCGCCCCCCTACTTGGCAGAGGAGCTCACATGAGAGCAGCGGGCAGGCCGGCTGGCCCTGCCACCTGGGGGAGACCCAAGACAAGAATCTTTTGTCAGAATCAGGCTGGAAATTTCACGGGCTACTCAGGCCATAGGAGCTGGGCTGTGGGCGGGCTTCCACGTGGCAACTTCCAATCTGATACCCTGCAGGCACCCCAGAGAAGCCTGGCAGGTGGCAGCTAAGCCTGCAGGCTGCAAGCTGAAAGATGGGCTGTCCAAACCCACCCAGCCCTTTAGTTACTCCGAGAGGAAAGCCTGGCAGCTGCTCCCGTAAAAGCTGCAGCCGTGAAACCCCTGAGGGGCAGTTCTGCCCGTCACACAGTGGGCACGCTGGGAGTCGGGAGGGACCCAGGAGCAGTGGGTTTGGGGCATTCCCAGAGAACCACTGCGGTGGTGACTCATGCTACCTTGGTGTCCCCTTCTGCCAGGTTGCCCCCTGGCTCAGAGGAGGGCTCCCGGGGTTCCCCAACTCACGGCCAGCTCCTGCCTCTTGTCGTCCAGGGCGCGGGCATTCTCAGGCACGGCGTCGTCCTGGGTCAGCCGGCGCTCATACTCAGCCAGCAGCTCCCGGCCCTGCTGCAGACTCTTCTCCAGGCGGCTGGCCACCTCCATCCTGGGAACACAGGTCAGCAGTGGAGGGATGCCCTTCCGGCCTCCTGCCCACAACCCCGGCCCGAGGTCTGCCTGCCACCCACTTCTCCTGGGCCGCGTCCAGCAGCTGGGCCAGGTGCTCGTATTTGGCCTTGGTGTCGTCCATGCGGGTCCTCAGCAGGGGTGCGCTGCCACCGCCCGGGATGGCCTGGATGAAGGCCTCACCCTCGGCCACGCTCCGCGTCAGCTCAGGCTGGATGCGCAGCAGCCCGCTGGAGAAGCTCTACAGGGACAGGGACTGGTGAGCATGGCCAGTCGCCCAAGAGTCTCCTCGTCAGCCCCCGGCCAGCACGGCCAGCTCTCAGGGAGGGCACCAAGAGGGGCCCCACCCTTCAGGGATGGCGAGAGTAGCAAGGACAGCCAGTGGGAAGGCAAGAAAGACCCTGGGCTGGATCCTGGAGGCTGCCAGGTCTGGGGTACCAGCCCAGCGTTTGCATTTTCAGGGGTACCCGTGGGTGCCCAATGCAGGTGGATGGTGAAGAGCACATCACTGGGAGGACCTTGCCCAACTATCCCCATCCACCTGGGCCCTCAGAGTCCACAGAGGTGGAAGGGCCACCCCGGACATCATCACGTCACCCTGCAGGACTGCTAGCTACATGTGGTCGGTGGCCTCTAGCCCCATGGGGCTCCCCACCCTTCCGCCAGCAGTACCTGGAGGTCCTTGGCCCGCTCAGCACTGTCCTGCACAGCCCGGCCCTGCTCCAGTGGTGGCCGGAGGAGGCCTGTGATGGCCTTCTCCTGCCGCTCCAGGTCTCGGGACACCTTGTCCAAGCCAGCCAGCAGCTGCCGCCCCTGCAGGTCAGAGGCGTCTGCCGGGGGACGACAGGGTCAGGGCTGGCTCGTCTCCATGGACGGCACCCCCCAGTTAGTCCAGTGGCACCCACCTCCAGGGTTCTCGGCCTTCAGCACCTCGTACCGCTGCTGGAGCGCACTCTTGCTCCCAGCCACCTTCTGCCGCACGCTCCGGTACTGGCCACCCAGACTGGAGGGGGCGGGGAGGGGGGCAGAGGTGCAGCTGAGGCCACGGTACCCACCTAGCCCTCCACCCAGACTCCCCAGGCTTATGCACATGGCCTGAGAAGCCCCAGAGCGCAGCCAGCCTCCCCACCCTGAGCTCCCCCCTTTTGCCCTTGCACCTGTCAGCCAGAGCCAGGGCCTCGGGGTCGGTGGGGGGGATCAGGAAGCAGATGGCCGGGGCGGTCAGCTTGTTGCCGGCACTGTCCGTGAGCTCCCAGCCATCGCCATTGTTCTTCTGCAGGGTGTAGCTATAGCCACGCGAGATGGGGCCCTGGAGCGAGGGGCAGGCCGCGACATTGGAAGGTGCCAGAGGCCATCTTGGATCCCACCAGCCCCCTTGCTCTTGGACACGGGAGTCTTAGCTTATCCCAGGATTGTCCCCAGACAGGGGCAGGAGGGGACATCGATGGGGTCTGCTAGTCTAGTACTTCACTTTGGTTTCCCCTCCCAACCCCAACTCCAGTCCATGACAACTCCAGGATGAGAGCGAGAGAGCTGCTTTCTAGCCACCGTGATTGGTGCAGGGTGGACATGTGACTCGAGTCGGGCCAATGGGCACCTTCCCTGGGACTTTGGTGGATACCTGGGGTTGCCATCATGCTTGGAGAATGGAAGCGGGGGAAGCTGAGGCAAGAGCCGGGGCTAGCATCTCTCCCACCGGAGGGATGCCAGCAGCAGGCACAGACGCAGATCCCAGAAAGCACCGCGTGTGGCTGAGACTCCAGGTCTGGGCTCACCTCGTCACACTCGAAGTCACAGAGTGCCTCCACCGGGATGGGCTTGAGTGGCGTCTCCCGCCGGTACTTGAGGGGCACAACCTGCTGCCCTCGTCGCTGCAGGCCCCGCACCACGTCCTCATACTTGTCCAGCGCCTTCTCCTGGTCCTGGGGGCAGGGGGCTGGCTAAGACCCGCACCTCGCCATGGCAGGGGTGTGGGCAGGGGGTGGGGGGCACCCCATCACTCACGTCCAACTCCCGCAGCAGCATCTCGATCTGGTACCGGTCCTTGAAGTCGGGGCTGTATTTCTGATTCAGATCTGAGTCTACTTTCTGCAGCAGCTCCTGAGCGTCCTTCAGGTCTTTGTGGAACTAGGGAAGCAGGCAGGGGCCTCATTCAGGCACTCTCCAAGCTCAGTCCCAGGTGGGGTGGGGCTCTTCCTTACCAGCCCACCGGCCCTCCATGCTGCCTCCCCCCCACATCAACTTGTTGAGTCCACACCAGGCTGCTCTGGACTGGCCTCTCGGGCCTGCTGCCCTTTTCTCTGTGCTAAGCCATGCCCTCTGGACTGCTGCATCATGGCAACTCGGAATGCGTGAAGACTAGCTTCCCAGGCTTCTCTCCTGAGTCAGCCAGCCTAGTCTTCCATCCGAATGGCTGTCAACTCAAAGGTCAGAGGTTCAACTCCAGCGGGAAGCACCTCGGAAGAAAGGCCTGACGATCTACGTCTGAAAAACCAGCTGCTAAGGATGCCCTGAAGCACAGCTCGACCCTGGCCCACATGGGGTCCCCACGAGTCACATGGCTGCCCCTGCACCCCTGAGTTCAGAGCCCAACAGGACTGAGACACCCCCCCTACCCCAATCTAAGCTCCCTCAAATTTTCCAATCCTAAGAACTGCCCCAGCTCTTGTTAATAAGCATGCACTTTCCTGCCCTACCCAAGGGGCTGACTGGGACTGCAGGGCCCTGGGAGGGTACCTGGTGGAAGTCCTCCATGTACTTGAGGTGGCTCTCCTCGCAGATGAGCAGGTTCAGGTACTCCTTCCAGTCTGCGTGCACGGCCTCCATGTGTGCCTGCAGGGACCATGGTGTGAGTATGTGGGTCAGGCGCCCAGGTGCAGGGGAAGAGGCCCTGAGTGGATGTCAGACCCAGAGAACATGGGGTCAGAGGGATGAGCAGAGCTCACGGTCAGCCTGGGCTGAGCACCTGGAGTGGTAGGAGGAGGAGAGAGGGGACATGTCCGAGAGGCCAGCAGGGCTGCTAGGGACAGTTGTGCACTATACCAGGGACAGACGGGAGCAGTAGCTGCTTCAGAGCCCTGGGGCCCAGAACAGGATGTGGCAAAGATGCCGGGGGAAATGGGGGAGAAGACCACACCGAGTGAGGAGGAGCTGATAGAATGGGGAGATGGACAGACAGATCAATGGACATGGCTGGACGCCCGCTGTGCGCACCTCGATGGAGTTCCTCCCAGGGTGCTCGGCCGCCAGCAGCTGGTCGCCCTCGCTGTGCAGCCTGTTGATCCTCTCTTCCTTGGCCTCCAGGTTCCGGTTGATGAAGTTCTGTGGCGAGGGGTGCAAGGCGGTCAGCACCCCTCATCCAGCTGCCCCCACCCAATGCTTCCCCGAGGGCGCAGCTCTGTGCCCACACCTCATACTGGCGCCGACGGCTGGGGTAGTCAAGGTTCCGATCGCTCCAGTCGTACTGCATGCGGCCCCTGGCCTGCTGATCCAGCCAGTACAGCTCGTTGGTGCACCGCTGCATGTAGTCCTGCAGGGAGCTCAGGTGCTGCTGGCGCGCCTGCGACAAAGCCTGGGGACCCGAGGATAGGCCTGTCAGCCAAGCCCCTCGTTCACTCACTAAGGGCTTAGGGAGCATCGCTCCAGGACCAGGATCAGCAGGGCACCAAACACACACAGCCCTCCCGGCACAGTTTTCTTTTTCTTCTTCAGCAAGCCCCGTCAACTGGGGATAACGATAGTGCTGCCCTCCCAGGACACAGGTACATAACAACCGAAACCCACCAACAAACTCACTGCCATCTATCGGTCAACCCCAGCTCACAGCAACAGGTACAAAGAAAAACCAATGAGCGCAACACCTCACTGCCATCGAGTCAATGCTAAATCGTAGCGACTCTATTAGCACAGGGCAGACAGAGCTGTAACTGAGACTAACTCTTTGTGAAAATAGAAAACCTCATCTTCCCCCTGTGCACCGGCTGGTGGTTTCAAACTGCGGCGGGCAGGTAGCAGCCTGACATGCAACCATTACACCAATAACCAGAGCTCCTCCTGACAGGTATATAGTTTTTAAAAACAACTCAGGGCTATCAAGTCGATGCTGACTCACAGCGATCCAATAGGACAGTAGAACTGCCCCGGTAAGGTTTACGAGACTGAAAACCTCTCTGAGAGCAGACAGCCTCATTTTTCTCTCTCAGAGAGGCTGGTGGATTTGAACCACTGATCTCATGGTGAGCAGCTCAATGAGTAACCCACCTTGCCACCAGAGCAACTTGAGCAACCCTATCATGAGCAACCCTCTGTGACTGAGTTTAACTTCCCCGTGGGTTTCTGAGATTTTAAAGCTTTGTGGGAGCAGAGAGCTTCATCTGTCTCTCGAGGAGAAGCTGATGGGTTTGAACCGCTGACCTTGCAGTTAGCAGCTCAATGCATTGCCCACTATGCCACCAGGGCTCCTCTAGGACATAGTGACCAGAACCCAAACTAGTGACCCTATAGGACAGGAGAGAACTGCCCCTGTGAGCAGCTTCCAGGACTAACTCTACTGGGGTAGAAAGCTTTCCTCCCACTTGGTATACAGTTCATGCCCAATAAACACGGGCTTGCCCATTTACCTTGACTAGTGGAAGAACAGCAAACGGATACCCACTGAGGTCTGACTCATGCTGGCTCAGGCTCAGGCATGAGCCAAAAGGTGGTATGGGAAACAGAAGGATTTCTCCCAAGTTGTCTCCCCCAAATATATGCCAGACTTAGCTGCTTGAGAATGACTATACACTTGGAGGTCATCAGGAGTAGATCAGGGGTCATTCTCCCTAAGAGCTATCAGCCATCTGGACCAAGCAGACACCACTGTTAATCCCACAACAAGTAGGGCCCACTCACTTCTGATAAGGATAGTAGTTGTCTGTTTCCTTGTAGGAGACCCCAGAGAGGTCAAACCTGCCCAAGGGTGACCAAGGTTAGGCTGCCATCATGAATCTAGGGTCCGCCCATCTTGTCACATGTATACCCCTAGACCTTCCCATTCCTATGGGCACACCCCTAGCTCATCCCCTTCCTGTTATGCTTATGCCTATCATAGATCCCCTTCCTATAATGTGTATGGCTATTGTACTGCCCCTTCCTGTGACATGTGGTTACCTGTAATCATGTCCCCCTAATGAGATATAACGTTTGGTTAGCAATAAAATAAAAGCGCTCCCCGGCTCTCGGCCCCAAGGCTCCCTCCTGCTCTCGTGGCTGGGCTCCCCCAACATGGACCATCAAGCAGGGCTGAGGTGAGCAAGTCTACCATGAGTTGTGTCTGACTCCATTAATCTAACTCTCTCCTCTATCTCTCATGCTCTCTATGACTTTACTATAATCTTTACTTATTATCCCTATACAATTGTGCCTACTGGACCTGTGATGATTTGTGGGGGACCCTCTCCCTTCACCCCACAAGGTGGGAGATTTGAGTCCACCCAGAGGGGCGGAGGAGGAAAGGCCTGCTCACCCACTTCCAGAAAAGCAGCCCTTCAAATCCCTACAGAGTGTGGGCCTGCTCTGCCATTGTTGAGTGGAAATCCCAATCACAGTAGAAAGGTTTTCTAATAGATGCTTTAAAACAGCCAGGCGCGTCCAGTGCCTGTAGGAGCCTGGTGGTGTAGTGGCTACCACCGGGCTGCAATCCCCAAGGTCCCCAGTGTGAAACCACCAGCCACCCCATGGCAGAAAGATGGGTTTTCTACTCCCATGAGGAGTAACAGTCTCGGAAGCCCACAGGGGCAGTTCTGCTCTGTCCTATAGATTCGCATTGAGTGGGCTGGGCTCAGAGACCGTGAGTTCTGGTGCCTGTGGTCTCGAGCGGTCTCGGAGTCCCCCCCCCCCCCATGTCTGTGCCCCTGCCAGGTGACCCTCCCTCTGGGGAATCCTCACCAGCAGTTTCTGGTACTTGGCCTGCAACTCGCTGCTGTGTTCCTGAGGACAGAGGCAGGGGGGTGGGGGTTGAGGACAGACACGTGGGTTAGATGGAGGGCCTTGGCCTGAGCCCCGCACTCCCCATGAGCCCCGCCCATGCCTGGCCCCGCCCCACACCTCACCTTGTCCCCATCCTTGGCGAGGTGGGGGCCGATGGCCTTGACCTCGTTGTGGAAGATATTGTGCTGCTCCACCTGCTGATCCACCAGCGGCAGCTCCGTCTCAAAGCTCTGGCTGCTCAGCTTGTCCTGGGGAGGAAGACATAGGAGCGGGGGCTTGGGGTGGGGGGGGCCTGGTCCCACGCTGGGACCGTGCTCTGCTCCTCAGGGATGAGCCAGAGGGCTGTCTCTGGTCTGCTCTCCGTTTCACAGATGGGCACGCTAAGGCTCCGTGGTCAGCAGCTGAGACCTGGCCAGCTCTTCTCCATGAGGGCACAGGAGGGACTACTCCTGGCCACTGCCCCCACCCCTCTGAGCCCTGATTGGCGGGGGGTGGGGGGGAGAGAGCAGCAAGGAGCATGCCTGTGCACCCACAAAGCAACAGGGGCCCTCCCTGCACACACGGCTGCTCCCACCCATGCCTGGGGCCCTGTCCATCATACCAGCTTCTCGTCCACCACGGCCATCCAGTTCATCTTTGGGTCCACTTCCTTCATGGCCAAGTTGTAGATCTGCTTGTGTTTCCCGCGCAGGTTGGTCACACGCTCCCGAAGCTGCCGAATGCTGGGAGGGTGGGGATGGGGGTGCAGAGAATGACAGAAGCCACTCCAGTTAGCAGGCTCTGTTGGCAGGGGCTTGGGCCGGCCTCCTATCCCCAGACCCTACTCATGGGACCCCTGTTCCATCTGCTCTCTTGTTCCTGTCCTCCCCCATCCACTCCCTGCTTCCAGCCTTCCTTTTTCCCATCAACATTTCCTGAGGGCCTACTGTGTGCCCAGAACTGTAGAAGGTTCCAGAAAACCCTGGCCTCTGGAGTTCACTGTGCCCTGGGGTGGCAGCCAGACCCCTAGCCCAGCAGAGCTTTCAGGGGAGAGTACCATGACAAGGCAAGTACTGGGGAGGGGGTTGGGGACCCCCAAGCCTGGGAGTGGTGAGGTGCAGAACTGGAAGGCGGTTGGGAATAGGTAGCAAGCTTCAAGGTCATCTGTTTTAAACCACCAGCCACTCCAAGGGACAAAGATGAGTCTGCATCCACGAACAGTGACGTCTCAGACACGGGCACAGGGGTAGTTCTATGCTGCCCTGCAGGCAAGCTACAAGGTCGGAGAGGCAGTGGGCTGCAAACCGCAGGTCGGCAGCTAGAACCCCCCAGCAGCTCCTTGGGAGAGCCTCAGGTGAGGCTGTCTGCTCCTGTAAAGATGGACAGCCTTGCACAGAGTCAGCTTGTTGCTGAGAAGAGGCAGAGAGCAGAGACAGTGGGTGGGTCAGTGAACTGTGGCCACCCAGTGAGCTCCACAGGGGCCATCTGCTCTCTGGCTCACAGCCCCTGTGCGTGCAGTGTGGGCTGACCCAGGACAACCCTGCAGGGCACAGCAGAAGTGGCCCAGAGGCTTCCCAAGGTGGTCACCTTTACGGATGCAGACTGTCACAGTCCCGAGGTGAGGCTGGTGAGTTCGAACCGCCAACCTTTCTGTTGGCAGTGGAGTGCTTTAACCACTATGCCACCAGAGTTCCTGAGTATCTGTGTGGTTTTTTTTGAAAAAAGCCCTCTGCCTGGAGTGGACTCTAACTCACAGCAGCCTTACAGGGCAGAGCAGAACTCTCACTAGGGTTTCTAGGGCTGCCAGCCTCTCTGGGAGCAGACAGACACTCTGTCCTCCTTTGGAGCAGTAGGTGGGTTTGAACTGCTCATCTTGCAGTTAGTAGCCCAATGCTTATCCTGCGGCTCCCACAGGGCTTCTTAGGTTCTCCTCAGTCCTCATAAACAGCCCCCTGACTCGGTCACTCCTGGGTGCTGAGGCTCCACCACCACCGCCCACGGCCCCCTTGGACGTACTCCTCGGCGATCATGTCCCCCTGAGGGTGCCTCATGTGCTTGGCGATGGCCGCGTCTGCCTCGAGCACGTACAGCAGCTTTTCTGAGTCGGACACCTTCTGCAGGGCCACTTCCTGGTGCTCGGCCGGCTGGCCCTCCTGGATCCGGGCCAGGTCCTACAAGTCAGGAGAGGTCAGTGGGCAGGGGCTCAGCATGGCACTTCAGGTGTAGGGGTGGCAGTGCTGCGGGGATGGCTGCCCAGCTACTCCTTCAGCCACTCAGCACATAGTCCCCAGGTGCTTGTTATGTACACCTTGTACACCTGTGAACCTGTGCACACCTGTGCGCCTTCGCACACTTGTGAACCTCTATGCACTTTTGAAACAGGAAGACCTGTCTGCTGCCTGCCTGGGACTCACAGCCAGTGTGGGAGCAGGTAAGCCACGGGGCACGGGTGGCAATGCAAGTCCAAGTGGGTATTTGCAACGGATGCGAACTGGAGAAGGAAGTGGGGGATGAAGAACGAGAAAGGGGGCAACAAGAAGGGGGTTCCAGGCAGAGCGAATGGCCTGTGCAAAGGTCCTACAGCAGGTAAGGACTGTGCTGGGGTTGAGATGGGAAGAGACCCCTGTGGGTCCTGTGCTCTTCCAGGGTTCTGTGGACACAGGAACTTGGCAATGGACAGTGGTGGGGGGGGGGTGTAGGGTGAGGACAGGGGTCACTGTCAAGGGCAATGGGTCCTCCTGGGGGTGGGGACCTAAAGCTGATTTACAGGGGTGCAGCCACTACAGTTACTGGACTGGTCACTTGAAGCAATTTATGAAGTGTAAACATTGCTGCAGTAAAGGAGTTGGGGGGAGAGGCGGGAGGGAGAGGTGAAGAGGAAGAGAGAGGGAGCCAGGGAGGGGGAGGAGGAAAGAAAGCAGAAAGCAAATGAATGAAATGACCAAGGAAGAAACCTGCCTGAGGACCCATGGGTCCCTGGGATGAGCAAGGGCTCAGGAGATGCCCGCAGGGAAGGAGCAGAGACACTGATCAGCTCCCCAGTCCACTGCAGGAGGACCAAGTGGTGAGCAGCTCCCTGGCCACCCTAAGGCACTGGACCTGGAGATCCATGTGCCCAAGGCTGGTGGAGCCGGCTTCTGCTCTGCCACCCTCAGGTGGGCTGGCCAGCTAATTACAAGGAAACAGCACACTCCTGGCTTTGGGGGGATTTTATCCGTTCCACTATCGACCAATGATGCCCTGAAGCTGGACCGAGCATGCTCAGTGGCCAGGATGACTTTGGAAAGGGGGTAGTGGGCATGATAATCATTGCCCTCAGGGTTGTGCATGGGCAAGCCCTCTCGCCAGGAGACAGCTGACATGCAAAGGGAACACCTGGCCATGGACGTGTTCCACGTTCAAAGCCAGGGAAGCCCAGGCCGGGGAGAGATATCAGAGGGGCAGTCACAATGAGGAGGTGTCAGATTTTCCTGCCACCAGTCCACCACTGCATTCTAATCATACTGGAACATTCAACAAGCCCAGAGACCCCAAATCAAGGTCAAGTCTCCAAATCAATTGACGACTCACTGCCTTTGAATTCATGCTGACTCATAGCAACCCTATAGGACAGGGTAGAACTGCCTCTCTGGGTTTCCGAGACTGTAACTGTCTTTCCTCCCACAGACCTGCTGGTGGATTCAAACTGCTGACCCTGCAGTGAGCATCCTAAAGCGTAACAACTCTGCCCTCAGGGCTCCTTGCCATCACGCAGTGCCAAGGCAGATCTGATGCCCTAGTTCTGAGGGAGGTGCTGTAGCCATCAATGGAGTCTTGGTAGCACAGCGGGTTAAGCACTGGCTGCTAACCGGAAGACCAGCGGCCGGATTCCACTAGCTGCTCCATGGGACAAAGACGAGGCTGTGTGCTCGGGGGCGGGGGAAGACTTCCAGCCTCAGAAGCCCATGGGGGCAGCGCTCCCCTTCTCTGCAGGCTTGCTGTGGACCAGAGTCGACCCTGTGGCAGGGGGTGGCTTGCTGCTAGGGTCATGTGCTGTCGAGTTGATTACAGCGCGTGGCAGCGCCAGGGCACACAGACAGAACTGCTACCCAAGGCTTGCAGAAGCCAGGCCTTTCTCCCGCCACCCCTCCGGGTGGGTTCAAACCACACCACCAACGTCTTGGCAAGGCCATCGAGCGCTTTAATCCTCTGTGTCACCAGGGGCTCTCGCCTGTCCTGGGTTTTATTAGCATTTGGAAAAACTGGCTTAAGGAGTGATGGGAATTCTGCTGCACCTGCTCAGCAATGTTCCTAAACCTCTACAATGACTTTAAAACAAAGAGATGCACACTTGCGCCACCCAGGGTGGAGACCTGGTTCCCAGGCTCTGTGAGAGCATGCGGTGCCTCACACACACACACACACACACACACACACACACACACACACACACACACCCCGTGTGGTGGGGGAGGCATATGCTAACTGCCTGGCTAACAGCTGCAACCTGGGGCATGGGGGAGGGGGATACCCCCAATTCTATTTGGCTTCCCTAGACTTGTTTATTGGTCCCAGAATGTTGATACGGAGCACATATTACTCTTATTATTAGAAAAGGGGAAAGACACACACATACACACGCACATGCGCAAGCTGCTTTCATTTAGGAAAGAAAAGAACACCCCAAGAAGCGGGGGGAGGGGCTGAGATGGGATGCCGGGATATTCACAAAGGGACTGGAGCAAGGGGCTTTGGGAGGGGACAGGGAGCTGAGGATGGGAGCAGCAGGAGGTGGGGGGCAGGCGTGATCCCAGAGAGGAGGGACAGACTGGAGAGGGGGTGACAAGGGATGCAAGACTCCTGTGGAGGGCCAGCTTGTGGCAGAGAATGGAGTTCTTTCGGGCCCTTCCCCCTGATTCTCCCCACACCCCATTATTCATGGTCCCTGTGTCCCTCTACTCCCAGGCATTCAGACTTCTGACACTCCCACCCCCTCCAGTCCTCTGAGAGCCTATGGACAGGCCTTTGGGAAGGTGGACATCTGGGATGGGAGGGGGACCTGAGATAAGGGGGCAGCAGAGGACAAGGCCTGGGGAGATCAGAGGGCTGGGCAGGCCTCAACCCCCCTGTGACTCCCCATCTTCAATTCCCATTCCTCTGGGTTGCCCCTGAGTGAGGATGCTGGGGAGACACGAGACACATGAATTCCAGGTCAGCAACAAGCTCTTTATAAGTGTAAGTCTAAAAGTGAGACTTACAGGAAAAACAGCAAAAGATTTCTGCTCTGCAAGGAATTAAGTCTGGATGGCCTGTGTCCAGCCTCCGGGGCTGCTTCTGGGGCCAGCTCTGACGCTGACCAGTCACCCTGGCTTTCTCCAAATCTCAGTCTCTCCAACTACAAAGATCAGCATGAACTCAAGTGCCCGAGGCTAGAGAAGGCTCCAGGGGAAGGCAGCCACGCCAGCAGCTCACGGTGTCAGGAGGACCCAGAAGGGGAAACTGAGGCCCAGCTGTTTCCTCTTGCAGAAAAGGAGAGGCGGGAGGATTTCATGGGCTGTGAATGGAGGTGGTCACAGCAGCGTTGATTCGGTGCCCTCCTACTGCACAATCTCGCCATCGCGACCACTCTTACCCGGGGACCCTAACTGTGTTCCCGCCTTCCCACAGTGCAGAGTTGGGGTCCAGGGCACTGTACTCAATCAACAGCATCCATCACCAGCGACAACATGCAGACTCTGGGGTGCAACCAGAACTGTTCCAGATGTGGCCACAGGGGGCGCAGTTGCCCTGAGGAGAACTACTGGGTCCGTTTAAGACGTGAAATCCCTTAGAGCTGGGAGAGCAGCTGAGCACCGCGGGGGGCTCCGGGCAAGGGGGAGCAGTGGGGTTCTCACACTTTGCATCTTGGCCTCCGTGTCCACGATGTTCTTCTCCACCTGGTCAGCATTTTTCTGCAGCTGGTCTATCAGCTCGGACAGCTCCTTGTTAGAGATACTGCAGGTGGAATTGGCAGGGAAGGAGGACGGGGTGAGTGGAGGGCTTACAGCAGGGCAGTCTCCCCTGACCCAGCACCCCACCCTCCTAGGCTGTCCCCCGCACCAGGCTCCGTGCAGAAGCTGCCCCCTCTAGGTAAGCACTTTTCTTAACAAAACATTTACTGAGTCATTTTTTCTGAGCATGAGGCTGTGACCCTGGGCACCTTCTTTATGTTGGGCCACCATCACCCCAATCTTTTCCCATTAGTCTCCCACCCCCATTAATAGGCACTTGGTACCCCCTAGACCAGTGGTTCTCAACCTTCCCAATGCCGCGACCCTTTTATACCGTGACACCTCATGTTGTGGTGACCCCCCCCAACCTTAAAATTATTTTCGTTGCTACTTCATCACTGTCATTTTGAAAGGGTTGGTTGATCCCCAAAGGGGTCATGACCTACAGGTTGAGAACTGCTGCCCTGAACAACGACGCCTCTCCCTCCAGCACAGCCCACCCCAAGTCACCACAAATAAGCCTCAGTCTCCAGACTGTGGCCCATTCTGGGCATTTCAAATCAGGGCGATCGAGCAATAATTCCTCTTGAGACTCATCTCTTTCACTCTGCATAAAGACTTTTAGACGGATCCCTGTGGTGGCGTGCCATCCTCCCCCTCCTATGTTTTATTGAGGTCTTATTTACATACTGTGGAATTCACCCTCTGGAAGGTGGCATGGTGCACGCATCAGCCTGCTAACCACTGATCAGCAGTTCGAAACCACCAGCCACTCCGTGGGAGGAAGGCGGCAGTCTCAGACACCCACAGGGGCAGTTCTACCCTGCCCTGTAGGGTGGCTGAGAGTCAGCATCGGCTGGATGGCAGTTGAGTGGGTGAGGGGTCATTCCAGCGATTCGCAGGCGTGGTTGCTGACTTTGGGAAACACTCTTCTGGAATATACTCATCACCCTGGAAAGAAAGGCTGTGCCCCTGAAGCAGGCCCGCCTCATTTTCCTAGGTAACTCCACCCACTCATCCACCCACCCAAGCCGATTGCTGGACCTATGAATCTACCTTCTGGGTGTGGCCTCAGAGCGTAAGGTCTGCCCCTCGGGGGATGTTCCCAGGCTCGGCCTGCTGCAGGACGCCATTCCCCATTGTATGGGGAGTCCACATTGTATTTGTCCAGATGTCCATGGACGGGCATTTAGGCCCTTTCCACTCTGGGGCTGAACTGTGAATCACACTGCCCCAAGCAGTCGTGCACACATGAGTGTGTGTGTGCCCGCTGCATTCTGCAAACCCAAACGCTGAGCCCACTGCTGCTAGGCCTATTCCAGCTCCCTCGGCCCGTTGGACGGAGCACCGCGCCTCCCAGGGCTTTCAAAGCAGTCGTCTTTACTCACAAGGGGAGTAAAGGCCGCGTCTTTCTCCTGAGGAACGGCTGGAGGGTCCACACTGTCAGGGGGGTCTTACCTTATTCTAATCCTTTAAGGCTTTACTTTCTGCCCACTCGCTCTTTATATTGAAATACAGGGGCTAACAACTCGGACTTGCTATTTCCTTACTGGACATCGGAAACCAAGAAGCCCAGACGTAAATGGAGGAAGACCCGCCTGCCACGGGGTGGTTGGATGCAGTGGCTGCCACAATGAGCCCCAACACCACAGCGATCCTGGGGACACGTGTGGCTCTATTATGCGCGGGGTCACTGTGAGCCAGTACCAATTCAGCGGCGCCTCACAAGTCTCATGGAAAGACAACCCCGGCACGACCTTCCAGCTGGGTGTGCCAAGCCTGAGCCCTGCCCCTTGCTCAAGAGTGGAGGCTGGCGCGTCCTGAGCTGGGCTGCCAGAGCCATGAAGCAAGGCTCTCCTTCTCTCTGTTACTCTTTTTTTCAAAAAATCACTTTATTGGGGGCTCATACAACTCTTATCACAATCCATACATACTCACTGTGTCAAGCACCTTTGTGCATTTGTTGCCATCCTCATTCTCAAAACATTTGCTTTCTACTTGAGCCCTTGGTATCAGCTCATTTTGGCCCCTCCCTCTCTCATGAACCCTTGATAATTTATCAATTATTATTATTTTGTCATATCTCTCTCAGTTAATCTTCTCCACGGTCACACCTATCTTCTCGACCGCATGGAGTTGCACATCATGGGCTGGGGGTGGGGGTGGGGGTGACGGGACAGCCAACTGAGTTCTTCTCTGGCTAAAACCAGCCACTTCCCAGCTGGGCACCCTCGAGTGGGCCGTTCTACCTCTCAGTCCTCCAGTGTCCTTCTATCCCGTTGGTAAGCACTGCCTGTGGTCAGCATAGTGAGCAGGACTGGAGGGTGGGGCCTCTTGGGGAGTCACTCTGTGAAACAGCCCAGGAGAAAGCTTTTCCCAGGAAACCGGGAAAACCCTGTAAGTGACCCTGGAAACAAGGCAGTGAGGGAGGAAAACGGTCCTTGCTTCGTGCTCCCCACCCCAACACCCCCCCCCCAATCACAAAGGTTAATTTAGCTCAGTAAAAGTTCTGAGAAGACCTGGGGGTTGAGAGGTGGGTAGACTGGTGATGGGCAGAATGGCCAAGCAGGGGCGGGACCTGGTGGAGGGAGCTTTGGAGGGGGGAATGTGGGTGAGGGGATATTAGGGTGGGTTTCTAGAGCTGCCAGGTTGGGGCTCACCCCCTGGCTTGGTGGGTCCCATAGAGGATCTGTTCTGAGCACAGCCATGTCCCTCAGCCCCCACCAGGCATCCATCCTCGACCTGGACTGCTGAACCCCACAACAGTTGACCCAGGACTGTGGGACACCACGCTGGGAACCTTTGTCTGGGGGCCCCACCTCAGGGCGCCTGCCAGCTCCCAAACCTGCCCCATCACCCGTTTGGTCAGGTACAGGAGAAACCACCACCTGGACCCCACCCCTTGGGCCCCACCCCATCAGGCCTGTGGCTCCGGGGCAGACCCAGCGAGGAAGGGGGAGCAGGGCTTATGCTCCTGTTGGAACAAAGGCGGCCTCAGCAGGAGCCAGAGGTCAGCTAGGGGTGGGCTCAAGTCCAGCGTGGGCACGGTCCCAGCAAGTGGCTTCCCCACACGGCCTCAGTTTCCCTCTGCCCACCAGGGAATTACAGGCTCCCAGTGATTTGATACTCCTGCTCTCTTTCATGAGGCACTCGGGGGGTGGGGGGGTGGCAGGGGGCATGCTTGCCCCTTTGCAGTCGAGGGCACTGAGGTGCAAGGGTCCACGAGGCAACCCAGAGTGACTGCTTGTGCACCGGGAGCTGGGAACTCCCCTCGGGGCAGTTTTGTGCCAGATGCCACCTGGTCAGCTGGCTGGCTTGGGGCTAAGCAATTCACATAGGCATTAGCTCACAGATCCTCCCCATTTTACAGATGGCAAACCAAGGCACAGAGCAATTAGGGAAGCCGCCATAGTCCTATAGCCAGAAATCGGGCAGAGCTGGGACTTGAACCTGGGCCTCTAGCTGCACAGACCCAGCCTCGCAGCACAACAGACCTAAACTTTGGCTCCTCAGGTTTGGGGGTGCATTTCACCCCACGGGGTCCACTCTGGGCCTCCTTCTGGGTGGCCCCAAGCCAGGGACTGCAGGAATGTAGGGCGGGGGCCTGCAGGGTAGGGGCTCAGCTGCTCAGAAATGCAGGGAACTGGCTGAACCGGTCCAGCTTTGCATCTTACTCGTTAGCCACACTGTCGACCAGATGTAGCTCCCGTGGGCATGGGCGGGCGGGCAGTCAGCCCCACTAATGGAAATGAAGATACAGCCCAGTCCTGTCCACCACGCCATTACCAGCTGAGCAGGGGAAGCCAGGAGGCTCCACCCACCCCCAGGAAGAGCAGGGGAGCAGAGGAGGAGGCAGTGGGCTTGTACCCCCAGCTCACTGCAGCCCAGCGCCCCTTCTCCTTACTCAGAGGTTCCACTGCACACACAAGTCTTGAGGCCGACGGGCTGCCTCCGGGACTGCACCCACCTGCTCATTACACAGATGACCACACGGAGGACCTCGGGAGCAGACACGCACGAAGGTCACGCCAGGGGCAGCTGCTGTATGGGCCAGGCGACCCAAGTTCAAGTCCCCGCTGCCCCCCAACCAGCAGCCTGGCTGTGGCAGAGCAACTTTATGCCACTGAGCCTCGGTTTCACCATCTGTTACATGGAAGTTACCAACTCCACCTTGTGAGGGGCGTGTGTGTGTGTGTGGGGGGGGGTGTGTGTGTCAGAAAAAGCACTGAAAACCCCTGAATCGAATCGTGTTTCTAAGACAACTCTGAGGGTCACAGGAGCTTCTGGGGACCCATGAGCAGATGAGCACCCACTGAACTCATTCACTCCCTGCCACCGAGTCGATGCCGGCTCACGGCGACCCCCCAGGACAGGGCAGAGTTTCCGAGACTGTCACTGTTTATGGGAGCAGAGAGCCCGTCTTTCTTCCTCGGTGGCTTCCAACTGTTGGCTTTGTGGACTCTAGCCCAACACGTGTCCACGACACCACCAGGCTCCTTCTGAACCCAGAGAGGCGGGCACTGCCTCTGCTCTCCCCCGCTCTGAACACCGCACCAGGGGCACACAGTAGGTGTCCGACCACCAGCTGCCAGTGCGTCCACCCGACTCACGTGACCCCGTGGACATCAGGGCACAACTGTGCTTCACAGGGGTCCAGAGGTGTGGGCCGGTTATCAGGCCTTTCTTCTGAAGATACCTTGGGTGAACATGAACGTCTAGCCTTGTGGTTAACAGGTACGAACCACAGGTGCGAACTGGCTGCAGGCTCCACCAGCGTCTGACTGCGGGATGTGAGTGAGCAGCAAACTGCGGGGCTCCCCGCTCACTAGCAAGAATCCTGTCGTCCTGCAGTGACCATTCCTCAGGTTCTGAGCCGGGCAGCCAGTGGCAAGGAGACAGAGCCCGTTTTTTAGGTTAACTCTGTTTTATTGATAAAGTCTTTGACGTATGAAAGATCTAAAATTTCATGCAGTACAATGAACTTTTCGCCTTTGGTTGCTCATG